CTGAAGAACACCAATAATATAAACACAACAGTACGAACACAATAATTTGATAAGGACGAGGCAGCCCTTGAACAAAAAGTTGTACCCTCAAGCAATTCTAGTGCCACAAGATCTTGGACACTAAGATACTGAGTTAATTGAGTACCATGTTAATTAGGGTATAAAATTATAAATGTAGTATAAATAGTAGTGAAGTTTGATAAAAGTTTTCTTCTTAGATTTGATAGCACCAAAACACTATTTTGGTCCCTATATATGGACTCCACAAGTCTGAAGGGTGGTAATGTAAATGATACCTGGGTAAATTCTCCATTTAAAAAACCACATGTACAGGTGCCAATAAACCACATAAGCAAACTTAGACGAGGCCGATTTCTCGCCTACTGTTGTTTCAAATTCCAAAGACATAAAACAAAAGATCTTGAAAACGAAAACAAAAGCCAGATTATACTGTTGGTATTAACAACCTAATGGACTAACCCAAGTGTATAGACATGTTTGTTAGCCAAAAAAACATCAAGAACTCAAGACACATGTACTTCATATCACAACTCCATTAGCTTCAAAAGTTGGTGTAGTATTTGCTTCTATACATATTTCAAGCCTCTATCATGCAGAACCTTCTAATGGAGCATCCCCCCCTTTACCTGAAAACACAAAGAAAAAAGATACGTCAAGACAACATCGAAGAAAGTACAATTACGAGATTTCAGTCAGATGCGTTTACCGCTTGGATTCTTTTGTTTACGACTTTTAAATTTGAAGTAATCTCCAAAGTTTCTCTCCGGAACGGGAATTAATTTTCCAACAGCAGCAAGAGGCCAACTGTTGACCAAACAATTCAGCAATTCGATAAGGATCATGAAGATGATAATATGTTTATTATGGCGAAGCATTGTAATGCGAATTCAAATTGTAATGCAAACCTGACAAAAGCAATGGCAAGGGACACAAGCCACAATTTCCAACTGAGGCGAACTGTCGAGGCAAACTTCCCCAGAAAAAAGATGATAATAACCTAGAAGATGTATAAGAGAGTTGAAAATGTGAGAAGGGTACACGACGTACAGGAGTTACTACTACAAGTGGGAAGTAAAGGAATACCTGAAGCACTACTTCAAGGGCAATTATTCCCATGAAAAGATGATTTTTGGTAACGCCCCTCCACACATTGATTTCATCTGGCTTTCGAGCATTAAATTCATTGAACACCTACAAAATAGAAACACAAGAGAAAAACAGAGATGATAGGCAGTTGTGAATTTATTGTTAAGAGGCATGGTCATAAAGGGAATAACATCTTTTTCCCAATTATCTGTAATAGTGAACGAAAAGAACATATCAATTATCATTCAATATTAGGTAAGCACTTACCTGACAGAAGACAAACGCATTGAATATCAATGTATTCCTCACTCTGAAGGCATGGTCAGGTGTATCATGTTGCAGATTAAGGATTCTCCTTCCCCCGAAATTGAGGACTAGCAGGACAGTCACTTGATAGAGAGCCTACAATAATAGACGGAAAAGGCAAGTACATTATTACCACCCCAGACAAATTAACTAACTCGTCCATTTACTTTATCAATACAAAAATGCACTTAATATGCCCACTGAGATTACAGAAAATAAATTAAAGGACTTTATACCTGTATTATCAAATTCCTCCACATAATATTTGTGATTAGAGGTTCCCTGAAACAATCATAAGATCATAGTCAGCAAGAGCACAGAAGAAAAACCCCAGCAAGTGCACGACATATAATTTCTATGACCAACTAATACAAATTCTAAACACAGATTACTATTAATGAATAACTCAACAAAATAACAAACCATCCCTTCACCATAAACCAAATTATTCATAATAAACATAACCACCTTTCCCTGTCTCAAGCATCACTTATTTGAAAAAAGAATTACATTAATGCTTCAGATCAAAACTTGAAGCAGAAAAAGAGCATCTTTTAAATCTAAATATTCATTAATGTACCTTAAAATTAACAATGCATCACAGTCATTAATTGTATGGAACACTCTAGAAAAGTTCAAACCAACATGCAATACACCACCAAATGAAGGTAATAACAGCAAACCGGTACAAATTCCAGATTTTTGAAGCGAGAAAAAAACAAAGGAAGAAAATGCAAAAATAATTGAAACAATATTATAGCATCCAAATCAGGTTTAGAAAAATGATTATGCTTTTGTAACAAAGAGGATGAGAAAAGGTTAACCATTTGACAAAGGAATTTAACTAATCGGTCACAGAGCACCAGCATCATAACTTTGCATCACATAAGCATAGAGGCTAACCTTCTGCCAACAGGTTTTCTACGCATCAGGTGATCCGTAGGAGGCTCTGTGGCCAGTGCGAGAGCTCCAAGTGTGTCCATGATAAGATTTACCCACAGCAGCTGTACAGATAAAATGTGAGAAGGGAGTTAATACACTCATACAAACAAACAAACAAAAAAACAGACAAGTTGAAACAGCTGGTTCTTTTAGAGAAATGGAGAAGGGGATAGACATTACACACCTGGACCGCATTCAGCGGAACATTGCCAGAGGAAACCGCGGAAACAACGTTAATTACCAAAGCTGCAACATTAACTGTAAGCTGAAACTGAATGAATTTCTGGATATTGGCATATACTGATCTACCCCATCGGACAACCTGCAATTCACATAATCAAGTTTTACCAAGTGCACTAATTTAACCTTATTTATGTGCCTGTCATATGTCCTAAAATAAGGGCAAGAGTTCCAACTAAAGTATCTGCAGAATGATATCCAATACGTGAACACAAAAAACTAACCTTCACAACAGAAGCAAAATTATCATCCAGTATTATGATATCGGAACTCTCTTTCGCAACCTCTGTCCCTTGGATACCCATTGCAAGTCCAATATCAGCCTGCAAAAGGCCAAATTAGGAAAAAAATTATTGAGAATTCAGAAATTATTGAAGAGTCAGAAGAGAGAGAGAGAAAGCTCCTTCAAGCAATTAACGCTTAGCATATCCTGACATCATTCACCACTAGCTACCTACCTTAATCAAATTTACAAGAATGCAATAAGACAAATGTTCACCCACCACAAAATCCGTACCAATATAATTTCAGTCCACATTTATTACACCGTATCTGTCTAAGTATTCATTGTGTACTACCTATAAAAGATATTGCTAAACAAAATAGACAACTAATAAAAGTAATAAACCACCAAAATCCCAAAAAGAAAATTCACAGCCGGATAGGCACCATCACAGTTCACTGTCAACAGAAAATTATTCTTCTACACAACTTATATGACTCCCCTCATTTAAATGGCAAATGAAAAACCAACCTCATGTAGAGCGGGTGCATCATTTGTACCATCTCCAGTGACAGCAACAACATGTCCTTTTTTCCTTAGAGCTTGGACAAGCAAGAGTTTGTCATTAGGTGATGATCTGCCCATTACCTTTCAGCAAAAATAACAAGCAAGTTATTTGCAGTAACCCAAGGACCACCACGGACAGAGGCATAACACTCAAGCATCATCTGAAAATTTCAGCATACCGAAATCTTATCAGCCACATTTAATCTCTGCGTATCAGTTAAGCTCCTGAATGCCTTTCCTTCAATTAGATTAGGTTCTGTAGCATCTGCATCAGACCCTAATATCCCACACTCTAAAGCTATTGCTTTAGCTGTCTGCAGATTATCCCCGGTGACCATGCGAACCTACACAAGAATTTAAGACTAATTAATAAACATAATTACATCTGCAAATAAGCTCCATGGTTAATTACATTCAGTTCATCCAAATTGCAACAATGTATGGTCAATTACATCCAAATTGCAACCAACGCATAGGCACAAATATCTACCAAATGTAGTTCAGAAATAATACAAACACTCAAGCACTTATGATCATTGAGAACTTAAAAGATTTAACTTCTATATAACTATGAGGCTTAAGTCATCACCTCAAAAAGCACCATACTGCAAACAGAGGAAAAATTACATTTACTATATATATATATAGCAAATGTTGTCCTGCAGTTTATAGTCCTACAGCTATTTCCAGACTATATAAAGAATTCCAAATTACTTTTCCAATAGCTAAAACATTGATTGTATAGGAAGATTTCAAGCCACACAAAAGAAAAGAAGAAAAAGTACAAGACATTACACAGAAGGGCCATCAGAACTAATTCATTGTTAGCATGAACACCAACCATGGTGTAATAAACCTTTGAATTACAAAGCTTTGATAGCATGAGCACCAAACTATGGTGTCATAAACCTTTGCAATTGCTAATGCTACAAATATACTTCTTCTTTTTCCAAAGCTAATAGAAATGGCAAGAACAGAAACTAAAGCAAGCAAATTAAGTGCTCATTCGTATATGCCTGTGTGACACTAACTGGTATACGTACCTTTACACCAGCATTGATACACAATTGGACAGCTTCCCTGACACCAGGCCGACAAGGATCCTACATTTAAAAATGAAAAAAAAAAAAAAAAAAATTATCCAAGTTGAGAGGATGAACGCAAAGTATTTATCATATTGTTGCATGGATAGAGTACGCCAGAGACAAATCATAGACACAAACGCCCATACACAGAGAGACTAGATATACTAGGTTCCTCAGCCACTGATGATTGATTAGTAGTGTTTTTGTAAATATACAATTCTGAAACTGTTTTACCAAGGAAAAAACCACAACAGATATGATAAATAGCGAAAAAGTGAACCGCCCATTGTTCAGCAACTAGTGAACATATATTTTTGTGGACGTTAAAGATTTGAACAGACAATCCTTTCAATACACATAGTTGTACAAGGCACATTTACAAACAAACAAAAAAAGCAAAGTCAAAAATACCTTGATACCGACAATTGCAAGCAAAGTAAGATCTCCCTCAGGCAACTGCCAGTTTTCCAGTTCCTCATCAGTCGATGGAACCTTCTCCGGTTCACACGTTCTATATGCAATAGCAACACAACGCAAGCTTCCAGCAGCCATATCTTCAATTGCTTTTTTAAAAAGCGATAGCTGCAAACAAGTATTTACTGAAACAACTGTTTGATACAAAAATTTAAGGATCTTGTAGCTATTGAATGAATAAGTAACACGCACAACATGAATAAGCAACTTATGAAGACTCAAAGACACACATCATAATTTTGGCACATAAGTACAGAAAATTGCAGCTCTAGACATTGTTATTCAAATCAAGTCCAAAAATATAAATTCTTATAGCGAACAGAGATTAGCAGAAAGGGTCTAGAAATTGGTGTTTTATAAAATAAAGGATCGTCATCTGAGCAAACCTTATCTTCATCCATCTGGACCACATTATCATTTGCATCGATGTAACTCGTACAAGAAGCAAGGACTATTTCCGCAGCACCTTTCCAGTGAACACGGATTTCGGAATTTGACTGCCAAAGAAAGACCACAATCAAGAAAAAAAAAACAAGATATGGATATCTTCGAGAAAGTGCACCTTCATAATGCAGGAAAGAAAATAAAACAATTTAACATCCCAAAAGATATCTTAAATTACCAGTTTCACAGCAACACCACCTCGTTTTTTCTCAGAGTTAAAGGGAAAAGCATGAATTATCTCTGAATTGGATCGGGCAGCACCAAAATCCATCCCAAGCTAGAGGAAAAACAGCAAACATGGTCAAGTTGCTGAAACAAACAAAAAATTATCCTACTAGTAAAATGAGAACAATTGATTACATTTAAACCCCACTGCAGAATGGCCTTTTCTGTTGGTGATCCAGAAATCTCAAGTTCTCCACCACCCTAATTAAAAACCAGCCAAAGAGAGTGTCACGCCTACTTCATGAGTGAGTAAGAAAGAAACTGACGTTAAAAATAACAATATCATGACAATCTATCCCTACACAAATGCCAAATCAACTTGAAAGTTTCTAAAGCTTTCTCGAGTCGTACCACCACAATAGTAACATAGCAGCAAAAGAAGTGATGCAGTACAGACAGTATAGTACAGACGACTCATGCCCAATACTATACATGCAAAAGGACCATAAAGATTACCTCAGGCACAAAGACACTTCCAGTTGTGTTCTGCGCAATGCCTTCATTAAGTAATGAGACAACTCTAACAGGAAGCACGGACTTATTGTCAGGTGGATCAATCTTTTCTCCACAAGTGTATGCCTCAACCACGGTCATCTGTGAAGGGGAAACAAATATTATTGACAACGTAAAAGTCAAGTATATATATATACACACACATATATATATACATATATATCGTAGATACAGAAATTCAACAACAAATGTCTGCTGATCACACAGAAAGAACGGAAGGAAGCTAGAAATGCACCTGATTCAGAGTAAGGGTCCCAGTTTTATCACTGCATATAGTGGTCGCTGAACCCATTGTTTCACAAGCTGATAATCTTCTGACCTGCAGAAATTGTACGACATCGTTCAGGGAAAATGAGGAGAGAACTTTAATAAAAAGGAAAATTATCAGCTGTGCTTTCAATCTACATAAGTATACATACCAATGCCTTATCAGCCATCATTTTTCTCATTGAATATGCAAGCCTACAAGGCAAATATAAAGTCAAAAACAAGAAAAATTACTTATACAACAGAATACAAATAAAAATAGTGGCAACAAATCAAAGGAAGGATCAAGAAGCTTCAACTGTTTGGAGGAAGAAAAATTATAAAATGTAAGTACGGAAGCAGGGAAGACTCACAGATGTAATAGGCAATATTTATGCTGGTTAAGATACAAGAAATAATATATATTTCATGGACAAGATATAAATTTCAGTTATGCACGAAACATGCAACATTCTTTACAATTGCTTTACAAAAACATAATGACAAGAAGAGGATTCACAAGAAAAGAATAATAAGACGTAGACTTACGTCAGAGTTACAGCCAATGGAAGACCTTCTGGCACTGCCACAACGACAATGGTCACCTACATTTTAAAGACAAGACAACAATCATAAGAAGCCCTAAACAAGTTCAACTAATATTCCAAACATATTGCAACAGTGAATATTTGGTGTACATACGGCAACAGTGAATATTCCAATGAAGCCATCTATTGCAGCTCCAACACCAGTCCTCCCAGCAACAAATTGGACCTGACCTCCGGGGGTTCTGGTATGCCCAGTGAAAAATCTAGCAGATTACAAAAGGTAAAGTTACTAACTGCCATCGCCTACACAGAAATCTAAAGAAACACAATCAATGAAAGTTAACCAGATATGACTACCTGACCACAAGTATTATCAGCACCGCCACTGCCACTATCAGACCAACCATTCCAATAAATGTCGCGACACCATTTAATCTTACCTAAAACCGAAATATAAATCGATCATCAGTTGACCCATCATGCATAATCACATACATGTTACAAAATCATAAAATAAGTAAGTAACCTGCAATGGCGTTTCTTCCCCATTATCCTCTGATATGCTCGCCATAAGTAAGCCCCATTCTGTATTAATTCCCACGCTTGTTACCTGGAAAATGAGTAACAGTCCAACATAAAATGAACTACCACATAAAAGTGTAACACTGAGTAATTGCTAATCCACTCACAGAAACCACATCACAAACTTCTAAAATTGAGTGAAATTTTTTATTCATCACAACAGTTGTTTCACCAGTGCGTCTTTCCTCAATTATTGTGCAAATGACATTAACCATTATGCATCAAGAAAATATACATGCATATTTATGAGTATATTTGCACATGGTGATGTCCTCACATCTAATAAATGAGTGTACACAGTGATCATTCTAAACATATATGTGTGTATATATATATATATAGAGAGAGAGAGAGAGAGAAAAAAAACTGTATCCATCACCATTACAACAGTTAAGTTATTTCACCAGTGCAGTGTTCCTACATTATTGTCCAAATCACATTACCCATTATGCTTACACAAAAATAATAAACCTGTTTATAATAAGAATAATGTGTATTTTGCACATTCTAATATCCTCACATCCATAAATGAGTGTAGACAGTGATCATTATAAACAGACGAGAGAGAGAGGGAGAGGAAGAGAGAGAGAGAGAGAGAGAGAGAGAGAATTGTATTCCAACTATAACTCTTATGGCTTCAACAAATGAATAATCCATTTAAGAGCTGAGAAAAACATTACCAGCATGCTTCCATACCCATCAGCCACCTTGCATCCCGACATGAGAAAAGGTGACCTTGTTGGGTCCTTGTGGACCTAAAATGACAAGAATGGATTGCATAAGCGTGTGAACACAGTGACCATTCAGAATATAGCATATGGTCTCTACAACTTACAATTTTACTCTCTCCTGTCATGCTGGACTCGTCGATTGCAAGAGAATGACCAGATATAACAATCCCATCTGCAGGAACCTGTCAAAGAAAGCAAGCGCTAACTCGTTCAAAACCCATTCTCTTATTTTTCTCTTCGGAAACGCACAATAAAAAGGAAATATGAACACACACTGTCATTTTCCTCTTTTTGGGGAGATGGGGATGAAAGGGTGGTACACTCCCATACCTGATCACCAATTTTGAGAGGAACAACATCGCCAACGACTATTTCAAATATTGAAATTTTAGTTCTACGTCCATTCCTAACAACCTGCAAAAAGCACCAGGAAATATAAGAAAAGTGAGAAAATGGAAAAGTACATGGGCACAATATTATTAAACAGCGTAAATAACCTACCTCCATTTGTATATTCTGCTTCTCCTCATTCAAGTTTTGAAACTGAAGGGATTGTTTGTAGTCACTTACCGCTGCAAAAGTTGCGATTAATTATATAAAGGTACCCAGATACACTCCCTCACATACTAAGGCAACTTTTGCTGTTCTTGAGAATTTGAAACAATATAAAAGAGCCTCAACCCTTTGCTTCAAAATAATTTATCTGCTGTAAGAATTGGGGCTCCTATAATTTAGTTAAAAATGCTTGTGATCATAGTCTGGCCAGACTAGTAATTATTAGAAGTGTGAACCACATTTTGAGAGTAAATTTTATGACACAAGAAATGAAAAGGAAATATAATTTAATTAAATGCTTGTGGTCATAGTCTAGACAGACTTGTAAATATTAGCAGTGTGAACCATATTCTAAGAATAAATTTTATGACACAAAAAATGAAAAAGATAAACCACATATAGTAGAAACAAGATAAATCAAACCGAAATTCATAAAACTACAAAATAAATTATGCAAGAAGCCCACAGCACTACATAAACCAGGGACTTGAAACTATCAGGTCAGGCATACCTGTAAATATAATGACGATAAATACTGCCATTGCAATGCTTCCTCCATCATACCAACCTTCTTTTATACCCTAGAAAATAATATAAGAAAATATTGGAACCAATAAACATCAAAAGACAACAGAAATCATGTATCTTAATATGTGCATCATAATATGCCGAAAGAAAAGAAACTGCATGTCTTATGTTCGAGAAACTGATAGCGTTAACTTAGAGAATAATCCACTTCTCAACTTACCTCGGTCTTTATACCGAGTGCTAAGGAGGCAGCCGCAGCCACCATCAAGATGATCAATGTCGTATCCTTGCAAGCTTCCCAGACGAACATCTGTACAGAAGCGTAAAATACAAATATTTCCAAGTTATTCTTGATTTCATTTTATCATAAATACAACTAAATGCATCAATAAAAAAGTTTATTAAAATGTTAACCCAGAAACTGCGTCCTTTCTTTCGAGGATATGTATTTGATCCAAAAGCCTGCTTTCGATTTATGATGTCATTGTCATCACCAGGTACACCTTTGTCGGCATCAGACATCAACTTCTCAGCCACTCCCTTCACCTGAAGCAACGAGAAATGAAAGAACTGAGGACGCAAAATATATAAATACAGGATTAAGGGGGAAAAAACTTTAAAAGAATACAAAAGGAAAACAATTCATATAGACAAAATTTCATGAACTTGCCCCTCCACTTTGCTGCAGAAGAGACATATCATGCTCCCTGGACAATGATACCAATTCTTCAGCACTGATACCGAAATCTCCAACTCGAGTTGGTGTAGAGGTTGAAGGTGACTTTGCAGATCCTGGAACTAGAACAAATAATGATGTTGAATAACCACGAATAATACAAAAAAGAGTAAATTTTAAATCAATGCTCAAAAAAGTAAACAGTAAAATCTAAATAATTCTTAGGGAAAAAAAAAAAGAATCATCTCGAATCATATATATGGCCACATAGAAAACTACTAAAAACATACATGTTTTCTGGTAAACGCTATCAAAGAAACCTATCAAGAAAATTATGTTACTTAATGATAACTACCAGCTATACGAGTTTCACAAATGATGATTGAAGGCTAGACTGGACCGGGCAATAAAATAATACGGCACCAAAGAAAGGAACCAAATCAAAGAATCAGATAACTCACAAGATTAACTCTCAATTGCTACTACATTTGCTGTTGAACCTTACACAACACTCAACATAATAATTGTTAGAAGTGCAATAAAAAGAGGTTTACCGCTCAATCCTTTGCCAGCTGCTTGGAAAAGAACAGCAGCCTGTTCAAAATATTGATCATAAGTCAACTGACTGCAGAAAAAGCCAATCCGCTCAAGACTAAGAAAGAGAATATAAGTACCCGAATGACTTGAGCATGCATTCGAATTTTTGCAATTAATTCCTTCCTCTCTTCTTCTTTCTTCAAGTCCAATGTATACCGAAATCGTCGAGAGGCATTCAATACCAGCGCAGCTTGCTAAAACAGATAATTAATAATTTAAATTTGAGAACGTCCAAATACATCCATTAGTGTAGTCAATCAAAACCAAATCAAAATTCTTGAGATATAACATGATTTCCCGCATCACACAGATATACATAAGTTGAAGCAAGATAAGTTCATATACAATTTCCCCATCCATGTTATTAGCAGGTAATAACTAGCCAAACAGCATTCTCCTTCCCCATTTACCCGTGGCCTACTTTTTATCCACCAATTTACAGTGTTCCTTTCCGATAAAAACAGTGCTGATAGTTGTACAGTTAAAACGCACACAGTATGTACCCATAGCCAATCAAGCGACCATATTACGCATTTGGTAATTTGAAGTAGGAAGTTCCAGAGTCGACACATCTACACTAAGAATAGTCAAAATTAGTAAAGCCTGCACAGATACCTATCCAGCTTACTAGTGAAATTCTGAAGCCACTAGTATTTGGAGTATGCAACATCATCATTTCTTTTCCTAAGAAGAATCACCAATATTTAATTGCTACAGCACTAAAGTGGCATTATAACTTAAATATGTGCAAACATGAACCTCTTTTACTAGACGGAACAACATAACAGAAATATGGGGCCCATAGAGTTATTCATAAATTGATATTCCAAGATATTATCGAGAAGTGATTGCCTGATCACCAAATAATGCTCAAACTCAATTTCCTTCCCAGTCCCAATGCTTAAATACAAATCAATTCATAGAATTTCCAACACTCAATAACAGATCTGTCTTTCTATAGATTGATAAAATGTTTCCTAAGTTTAAATTAGAACAAATCCGAGAACACATCAGTGGTTCGACTCAGTACCAAATAAAGTGAAATCTCAGAAAAGTATAGAGTGACAACATTATCCAATAGCTGCTTTAAACTTGGCATTCACATTTGAATATAACCAAGCTTCAATCAAGGGAAACTAGCATTAACCCTTGGAAGTCTCAAACAGAGTCCTCAATTTCCAAAAAATATGCATAAATTATGTTCTGATTTATTCCTTTTGTCTCAGACAGATACTTTCATCTCGGACATCCAGTAACCCTACTCAACAAATACTTTCGTCTCTGGACAACAAATCAAGTTGGATCAAACACAAATACAAACAATGACACATGATAAAACATGACTAAATTAACACTATGCATCAAATAAAACCATTCCTGCACATATTTCAACAAAAGAAAAGCAAAAATACTTGTACAACACATGCTCTTCTCCACCAAACAATTATAAACTAACAGAATACAGATCGCCAAAAAACTAATTACAGAAATACTTGCTGAGACTGAAGGCTAACGACATAAAACTTACCCTCCACCTGCGCAACTGGTCGACTGGAGCCCTTTTTGTGCGCACAATGTTGAAAGGCCCAGAGCATTCATCTTCATCCTCTTCATAGTTTTCGTTGCTGTTGCCGGCCTCGGGGTCGTTCTTGTAGCGCCTATACGGCGATGTCTTGTACTCGTCGCTCATTCTGGATTTCTGTACGTCGCAGGAGAGATGACACTACTTATTTCTGTCAAATCGAATCAATAACCCACAGACATGCCGGAAAACAAAAGATTCAGATAACAACTCCGGCGAGCGAACAAAAAAACAAAACAAATCTAGTAGCAGCAGAGAGCGCAGTTGTACAACTTTTATCTCGAATTTTCAACTTATTTCTCCTTCGCACAAGCAAGGTAGCTTACAAGTGCATCAAACAGTAGCGATCGAAACTATCGAAACAAGGTAGTTATGAGTAGAGAACCTGAAGCGTCGATAATGGCTACTGTGCAATTGGTGCAGTTGTTGAGAGCTACGCGCAGAGAGAGAGAGAGCGAGAAAGAGGAAGAGACAGAGAAACTTCCTTGCAATTTCGTCTCCAAACTGCTTTTGCAAGTTTTCTATATTTCGTGATTTTGTGAGGTGAGGTCCACCGAAAGGTCACTCCGTTATATTGAACATGAGATTTTAGAGATATAGTTATAGAGTAAGATTTTGTATATAGAAGCTTTCTCTTTTTAAATATTAAATAAAAAAAAAATCTTTAACATATATTAAATAATCCAATAAATTTAAAAGTTCAAGTGAATATTTTAAAAGTTTAAAAAGTTTAACGGGTGTATTCAGTCGGGATTTTCAAGGACATTTTAAGACTTCAAAAATTTTGGTTTATTTAATTTAATTTTTTTAAGATTTTTGAAAGTGTTGATTTGATGTATTTATTTGGGATTTTAAAGAGTCTTCCAAACCTTGAAATATTTAATTTATTTGAGACGAAAATTTGTTTAAACTTTTTAAGATTTGTTGGATTTTAAAAGATAACTTATTTTATACCAAAATTTGTTTTCATTTTTTAAGATTTGTTGGATTTCTAAAGAAAACATAAATCTCACTTCAAATTTCGTTCCTCCTAAATTTAAAAATCATAAAAAGTCTTAAATCTAAAAATATCTCGAAATGTCACATGAAATCTCAAACAAATACACTCCTAACTACCCACAATTTCTATTCTAAAATATTAAAAACTCTTCAAAAATCTAATACACCCTTTCATTACGTAGTTGTCGAACAGAAAAATTAAATTCACTTATTTTATTTTTATTCTTCCTCATTATCTCAAGATATCTTTATTAGTATTTTATAAGTTGAAAACTAAGCTTTTTTTTAATAGTTAATATAATATACATAATTAAAATGATTGTGACCATGGGACTTCAAATAAATAATGATAATTTTGTGAAAACGTGTAATGCTATTCTCTCAATTACTAATTGGGCATAAATTGCAAGATTTAAACTAAATAAAAAATACTAATTTCGTCAAAACTTTTAATGATATCCATAATTACTAAATAGACATAAATTAAATAATTCATACTTGTTCTTTACATCATATTTGAGAGAGATTATACGGTCCCGTTACGGAGTCATTCCGTTGGGGTTATAACCGTTAGATCAACTATTCATGACGGTTACATGATAATCTAACAGTTTCAAATTGGTTCCGTGACGGGACTATAGTATTTCTTCATATTTGATTTTGGATTTTGGTCCCCACTAACATTAGCTAAGTCACTTGCTTACAAATATTGTTAAAATTGAACAATATTAAGGTACTAACATTAGATAAATACGTAATGGATTTTATTTTAATTTTTTCTTTTCAAAAAGATAGAATAAACTTAGATTTGTGGAATATCTCAAACAAGTAAAGTATATAATATTTAAAAATTGATAGTGTTACTTAAGAATATTTGCATCATATAAGAAGTAATTTTTAGAGCTATTTCAATATATTATATCTCGTGTATTGTATTTATTTGATTTTTTTGATAATTTTTTATAACACATATAATCGGCACAATATTTTATACCTAATCTACGTAATTTTTATCATCAATTTTGTCACGCATCTTTATTTGTGAATATATAAATTTGATCCGCAAAATATATACCCAAATTATATTCTTATCTTTATTTGTGAATGATATATATAAATTTGATCCGCAAAATCTATACCCAATATATCCGCAAAATATATACCCAAATTATATTCTTATCTTTATTTGTGAATGATATATATAAATTTGATCCGCAAAATCTATACCCAATATTCTTATTCGTATTCGTATAATAATAATTAACCACCTCAAACCGCGTAGAACCCAAAAAGCGTGTATGCAAAAGGAGAAGGTTAAAAGCACGTTTTTAAGAGACGTGTGAACCACAATTATGTGTAAAATCGGGTTTTTTTTGGTAGTGGACAGGTGGATCACATGCATTGCGCCACACAGCGTTATGTTTATTTTTATTTTTTAATAATTAACTTAAAAAAGAATTGCAGAATAAATTGTCATTTCTTGTTTTTATTAAATCAAAGAATTATTACAGATAAATTATTTTTTTTTACTAAATAAAAAAGAATAATAATAATAATAAAATAAAATCAAAATCGCTGACCTGTGCGTGTCCAGCGCAACACTCAGGTGCTCCTCTGTTTGGTCTCAGGACCTGACACGTGGCATAAACGTGTGTTCATTTTCTTCTTATATTATTTTCAGTTTTGCTATGGAGCAATCGGATGGCTCGGCTTATGGAGCAATCCACACTTATTCACCAATAGTGTATTGACACGTGTCTTACAATAAATACAATTTAGACAGGTGTCAATATATTAAGCAATGGATGGCTCCATAAGAAAATAATCCGATTGCTCCATAGAATTTTTGTATTATTTTAGTGTTATATTTTGACGGTTTTATTGTGGAGCCATAGGATGACTCGACTTATGAGTCATTCATAGTTATTCACAAATAGTGTATTAACACGTGTCATGCAATAAATACACATTGAACACGTGTCAATATAAAAAGTTATGAATGACTCCATAAAGGAACCATCTCCGATGGCTCATAGCATTTCTAATGTTCGATAAATTTTTAAGTAAAAAGACCTGTTCTGAGGCAATATAGAGAAGTACGGTATATAAATAAATAATTAAATGGCTTATCAAATCAATATATTTATTTAACTATTATTGCACCGATGTTTGACTGTGATATAACATTCTCCTTATATATAATTCTCGAATGCGTTGAGCATACGTGGCTGCTTCTGGTGCT